TCATGTTTTTATGTTTCAATGGTTTTGATTATCAAATTGGAAATATCCTAGGTAAAACAGTCTAGCAGCACAGTTGCAGCTTACCTTTGTAGATTTTCATGAAAGTTTTTATGAATATAGAAGTGGCTTTTAACTGTAACTTGAATTCCTCTCAAGAAGCCACTCCACCTTTATATTTGAGTTGTTGACTTTGGACATTCACTGCCCTTAAAATAGCAGCACAGACTCCCCCAGGGACCACCTTCTTTCCTATTAATATATTCTCAGTTCATCTCCTAGAAGACACCTGTGATGGCAGTTGCTCTGCTTCCTCAGAGCTGCGTTGGTAGAAACAACTTTTAGCCTTTGGGGATTACGTCTCAAAGTGAAATCCTCATTAATTCTCTGGACTCACTTGAATGGAGGTGAAATTCTTCCAGCTGCCAACACTGTGGATGTTATATCTTCTGGTTTTGTTTTCCCACTGTATTTAACCTGACTCTGATGTCCAGATCACAGTTTACTATAGAACATTGAGTCTCCTGTCAGTTCCACATACGTGTTGTGCTTTCTGTCTTTCCTATTTAGAGTAGTGATGCCATTTTTAGAAATAGAACATTTTATAACTAAATTAACTTTTTTCTAAAATAGAGATTTTGAATTTTTATGATTTTTCATACAATATAATTTGATGGTATTTAGATCCCTCCCCCTTCTGCACTCCCCCCACTGTTCCTTCCCCAATTCAATACACACTACTATATATAAAATACAGCCTATAGTGTCTGACTTATGTTCCCACAGCTTTGATGGAAATGTAAATATATGGCAACCAGTGACTTGATTCTTTTCAACACAATTTTAGATATTTACAAGTGTGTATGGTTCATACCATAAACAGGTTGTGGTAAGTTTTAACGTCTGCCTTTCTCTGCCACAGCATGTCTGTCATACATTGGTCTTCTGTTCACATTTTTTGGCATAGATACGTTCATGTTATGATTTAATCCTTGCTCTATTACTAAATTAGCATCTGAAAATTTTGTGGTTCATTTAAATGTCACAATCACTTGACAGTATCTCAGAAATTAAAATATTTGCTTTGTTAATGAGTTGTGTAAAACTAAAGTATCGTACAATAATACTGCAGTATCATTGTGTGGTTGGTGATTATGAAATACTATTTCTGTCTATGAGTTCTACTGTTTCTTAAATGATATACACAGTCCCATGGACAACCGACTTTTAGAGAAATTAAAATTGAAGAAAGAGCATTTGGAAGAAAATTCATTGTGCATGTGTGTGTGTGTGTGTGTGTGTGTGTGTGTGTGTGTGTATGTGAAGGCAGGTGTGCACATGCATGGTGCAGTTGCCACATCGGTGGTCAAAGGACAACTTTCAGGAGTTAGTTCTGTCTTCCCAAGTTACTGAGGCATCGTCTTTCCTGTTGTTTCTGTGGCTGAACTGTGCACTCCAGGCTTCATGACCCAAGAATTTCCATCCAATTCTCCTGATTCCAATACACGTCTCATTGTAGGATTGCTAGGATTACAGATGCACACAACCACATTTAGCTTTTTTACATCTAGAACAGAAATACATGTTCTGCAGATTAGACTCTGGTATTCAGGATTACAGAGCCAGAACATATACTCTTGGCTATCTCTCAGGTTCCAAGGATCCACAATTAAGAGTATCAAATAATACTGTACATCATTTCTAACCTTGTGTTATGGAAACTAGTCACATGACCCACCCATAAAACGGGTTCTATTTTGATTCATCATTAATTGTCAGGCACTTAAATAACATGTTCTTCATTCTATAAATATAAACAGAGCCAGAACATATACTCTTGGCTATCTCTCAGGTTCCAAGGATCCACAATTAAGAGTATCAAATAATACTGTACATCATTTCTAACCTTGTGTTATGGAAACTAGTCACATGACCCACCCATAAAACGGGTTCTATTTTGATTCATCATTAATTGTCAGGCACTTAAATAACATGTTCTTCATTCTATAAATATAAAA